AAATATTCATATTAATCAAGGATTTATTGACTTTTAATGCACCTTATTTCAAAATGTACAGAAATACGTGCTTTCATATGTCTTTTAGTCATGGTTGTTTCATTTATTCACTATACTATTTATAATTAATGTCTCATTTCAGTTTTAGTTTGGCTCTAGTTTTGTATTTATTCCAGTTTATATGAAAAGGTTCACGTAGCGTGGATTAAAATTCATATACAGAGTAAATCCTTTTCACTGAACACGTTAAAAATAAGTTTGAAAAAGTTGTGGGAAGCGTGGTGGTGGTGACACTGAAGGCGAGCGACCGTGGTGCTGTAGTTCGTTTATAGCCTAAGTTTAGCTTTTAAGTTCTGGCGCTTTTATTTAGGCTTCAAAATTCATCAAAGTTATATTATTTTGTGAAGATTATCTTGATGGACAAAACGTGTAAGTTTCATGAACTTTGGTTGAACACAGAGCTTATTTTTTCGATAATCCAAAAGCCTGTGAAAAAATCCTATAGGCTTTTTGTCGAGGGAACCAGTGTCATGCTAACAGCCGATCCGCCTAGAAAGTGACGTCATAGTTCCCCCACTCTATTCAATAGGCTTGTTAGAGATGAGCAAAATCTGCGCAGAACCGATCACCGGTGATCACCGCGAGATGCATGCCCGTTAGAAAAGTGTCCGAGTTACGTCTGACTTGCTCTGAGATGTCACGCTGGCCTGTGCCAAAAAACTCTCACGATGGCGAGGCGGCTGTGTCGGATTGTGCAGTCGAGCACAGTTGCTCTCCACCGACTGCGCTGATCAAAAGCATGATGGGAAACGACTGACTGACGACACAGCTTAATGCTTATTGGTTCAGACAACCATGATGCTGAATTCTCTTCTAAAATGTTACATTTTTTTATCTGATTTCAAGTGATTATGTATTTAAATTATGCTTGAATATTCCCAAACACTATGACAGTGCGATCTCTGTGTGAGATATGTGATAGTTGTCATATTTCTATAAAAATCTAAAATACATGTTTGTATTAAAGTAAAAATGGATGATAAATACGCCTTTCATATGGAATTAAATAGCAAGCACTTTGAGTGTCTTGTTCATCTTATTTATTTTCATATAAAAACAACAGAGCTGAAATTATATCATGTTAATTAGCAACACAGCACGTGAGTGTGAATAACGCGATAACGCGATCTCGTAGTTATCTTCCACTTCCAGAGCTCAAAACTGTCCGTCTTGACTGTGTTTATTTCACTCCTCCCCTCACTGCAGCCGCCTACTCTTGCCTACTTTTCAGGAGAGGCTAGGTGAGGTGCATCTCAAACAAGCCTATTATTCAGTTTCAGCTGGAAATACGTCACTACACTGAAATAAAGTCGGCAGCAACTTCCGGTTCACGCGGACTTTAAGGCATACATGCTTAGCAGAGGACTGGTGCCATTTTTCTCAGTAGCCCCTCACTGCAGAACAAAGATCCAGGGGGCAGGGTTGAATCCACATCTAGGGGGGGGAGATGGTAGGGTTAGGGGTGGAGATGGGTAAGTTTAGGGGTGGAGATGGGTGGGTTTAGGGATCAGGGGGTGGAGACGGGTAGGTTTAGGTATAGGTAAAGTGGTACATAGTATCTAGAGCTGTAATATTTCTGTAACTACACACATGTAACAACCCTCCGAATGGTTTGTGTAAGTACAAATGTGTAACAGGACATATATAACTACTTTTGTAACAACAATATGTATAAGAGTAATTGGAACAATTTGATCCAGGGGGGGGAGATGGGTAGGTTTAGGTATATGTAAAGTGGGAGGAGTTGGATCTGGATCCAACCTCGCCCCCTGGAACTTGTGTTCTGCAGTGAGGACCATCTCGTTTTTCTCACAACTGAATACTGCCTCACACGCCACACTCGAGGCCAACGCTTCATGTGAAAATCGCCTGTCCAATTCAGCCAGCAGTGAATCAGTCCACCACATTTTTATTCACAGGTTTATTAAAAAATAAAACGAATTTCCATTATTCAGTTAACTTGCTAAAGCGGGAAAATAATGAAAAGAGAGTCCTCTCAAGTTAAGAATCATGATGAGTCACGGCTCGCCAGGATGGGGCTTAAATCTCATAGAAATTAATTTAGCCCAAAACGTACTCATTCAATCCACTAAAATAATAAGATAATACAAATAAAATGATTTTTATATTTTATTTATAGCTCAGACAAAATCATGATTGGCTCTCGTCTGGGGGGAGACAAGAGCCAGCCCCCGCCTATTCTCCGCCTATGATCGCGAGTGCCGGTGTGTGTCATTCAGCTTGATTCCGTTATTCATTAACGAGTTGTGATTGGATGGTAATTTTGTTCTACAACGAGCTTGGTTACTTTTGATTAGGCTGTTCTCACGTGATAGAACGCTCTGATCACGCAGTTTTAAAGAAATTTTGAAATACAGGACAAAACATGATATTTTTGTAGTAAGTCAGGACACTAAAAATAGAGCTGAAATATGGGACTGTCCCGGGAAAAACGGGACATCTGGTCACCCTAGTAAGTGAGGGTTTAAAGGAAAAGAAAGGGTTTAAAACAGTGTGAATAGAAAAGTGCCAGTAAAAAAATAATGCGGGGTATGGGTAAGGTCGGGCATCGTTTGAATTTGAATGATTTTGATTCTTGTCAATTCCTAATTTCGATTCCAATAAGGTAAAAAAAATTATATATAAATACACTGAACAAAATTATAAACGCAACATTTTAGTTTTTGCCCCCATTTTTCATGAGCTGAACTCAAAGATCTAAGACTTTTTCTATGTACACAAAAGGCCTATTTCTCTCAAATATTGTTCACAAATCTGTCTAAATCTGTGTTAGTGAGCACTTCTCCTTTGCCGAGATATTCCATTCACCTCACAGGTGTGGCATATCAAGATGCTGATTAGACAGCATGATTATTGCACAGGTGTGCCTTAGGCTGGCCACAATAAAAGGCCACTCTAAAATGTGCAGTTTTATCACACAGCACAATGCCACAGATATCGCAAATTTTGAGGGAGCGTGCAATTGGCATGCTGACTGCAGGAATGTCCACCAGAGCTGTTGCCCGTGAATTGAATGTTAATTTCTCTACCATAAGCCGTCTCCAAAGGCGTTTCAGAGAATTTGGCAGTACATCCAACCGGCCTCACAACCGCAGACCACGTGTAACCACACCAGCCCAGGACCTCCACATCCAGCATCTTCACCTCCAAGATCATCTGAGACCAGCCACCTGAGACAGCTGCTGCAACAATCGGTTTGCATAACCAAAGAATTTCTGCACAAATTCATGTTTATTGTACAGAAATTGTGACATTAAAAAAAAACAACAAATTTATTTTTATACTTGGGTTATTATTATTATTATTATTATATCAATTTGTTTAATATTTTAATATATGATATATATATATATATATATATATATATACAGTATATTAAAAAAAAAAAATCTTAGATATCATTTCACATTTATTCTAACTCTTATTGCAAAATATTTAATTGTTAGCTGAATATTATGAATGAAAATCAACAGGCTAAAGAACACTTACACAAGGATGTGTGTGCAGCAGAGAAAACAGCCCATGAGTCTTCTTGAATTGAATGGTTAAAAATCTATTGAAAGTGTAGTTTATTGTTATTATAACAAAGGTGGACTCCAGGCACATTTTCGGTAGGACAAAAAAACAGAGCATTTTATTTAACATGTTAACCCATACCTAGGCTTGGGAATCCAAAATCTATTCCAATTCTGGACTAGGATGCTTAAGGTCAGGAATCGTCTTCTTGTTATAAAATAAAAATTCAGATTCTTCTTATCGATTCCTTTGTGCGCATTTTAATATGACTTTACACCATTCAAGCACAAGAAGACTCATGCTCTGTTTTCTGTACTGCACACATAGGGGCGTAGCCATCATTTCAGAAATGAGGGGGACAGAAATGTAAAAAAAAAAACACTTTTCACTTTTGTCTGAACATGAACCACAGTGAATATTTGTCGTTTAAAAGCTTCATTTAAATTATTTGACGTTAAATGCATTATATAAGTCACTTTGGAATAAATCACAGTAGGCCTATGTATCATGATAAAAAAAGCGACTTTACAGTCTGGAAATACAGTAGGCTATAGCAAATTATTTCGCGGAACCCCTATCCCTTTAAGAACCGCTGGTCTACACAGAAGAAAGCCCTGTCTAGACTCTGCCACGGTATGAGTTATGTCGAGCTATAGTCTGTTTGATGAATAAAGATGAAATGTAGTTGCAATAAATGCGTTAATAATCCGTACAACTGCAGCAGCGTTTTGACTATTCTGCTGTGTGATACTGTGGAAGAACTGATGACGGCACGGTTTGATCTTCGGCTGACCAATCAGCAGAAAGGGGCATTTAATTCCCACCCACGTGTAGAAATCGAATATTCAAGCTGTTTATTAATTTTTCTACCCCTGAACGAAAAACGAAAATTTAAGCTGAGTTCTCGGTTTTTGTTTTTTTTGGGAAAAAAACAAAAAGGAGCCGTTTTTTTATTTTTCTACTTTTAATATTAAATCAAAAATGAATTAACGAATGATACACGGATTTGTCTAATTGACAGGCTTTATTTTTTCTATTGTCTTTTAACTGGCTAAGAAATTAAATACACTGCTGGACGATAACCAATAATTTGTATTCTATAATATTTATTTTCTGTATTTTCTTAATGACAATTTTAGGATTGGTTTATACAAACACACAATAAGGCAGAATAGTTTCTATACTGTGATAAATGTTATGTAAATTAGCACTGCATTAGTCAAATACTATATTTATTACCTGGAAATGACCTGAAATAAAAAAATGTTTTAGCTACAGCCATAGCGGGATGCCTTTGTTCATATTAGGGATTTCCTGCACGTCATATGTTATTACTTCTACTAGGCATTTTGGACTTTCTGCGCGAGAGCGCCCTCCGGCTTCGAGTATGAATGAAACATGCACTGCATGAGAGTGTTAAGCACTCCATAATGTTCACATCACCTCGTTTTGGATATGAATAAATCACCCGGTCATACATAGACTATCTTGTTTCTTCACCCATGTGCACACACATCCAAAGCATGCACACAGAAAAAGTGATTTTAAATGCATCAGACTGACAGATAAATCATGGTTGATCTATCAGCCATATGCACATAAAAATGCATTCGCTCTTGTTTCAGTTTTGTTGTTAATGTTGAGGTTATTTTAGTTTCATACATTTAGTTTAACTGCACTGTTATAAAGGGCGATTTTTACCATCCAACTGAACTGTGTGCATGTATTTTAGACACTTACATTGTTCTTGCTCCATCCATGCAATAAGTGCGTCCTTCTATCAACTGGGTTTTCTGTTTATACTGCTGAGTACTCTGGTAATATCAACGGTATGACCCATTTCAGGAGCTGACAAAATTACGATTTAAAATCAGAGCATAGCTCACATTCATTAAAATATTGAAACGCTAATGATGCTGATTGAAAACGACAATTGATTGACAGTCAAAGCAAAGTTTGCTTCCGGGTGCTGTCTGCCATGCTGTTGAGTGGTTTGCATTTGTAGCTCCGTGTAGCTTAGTTTTTCTGTTGGAAACTCTATCTTACTATCACTCTCTGTTGTTTAAACCGCTAAATTATAACTGTATTCCCACCATATTTCTGATATTATCTACAAAACTAATTTGACATCTTTCACTTTTAAATGAAGTTCCAAACGTAGGTCCGGGAGGAGCATAATCGTTCAGTCCTGTCAATCATCGCTACGAGCGTATATTAGCAGCAGTCACTGCACCGTCCAGTGTTGCCAATTTAGCTACTTTGTAGCTAGATTTAGCGACTTCCCCGCCCCTTTTGAGACTTTTTTTCAAAAGTTTAGGGACAAATATAGCAACTTCTTGGACAAACCTTTTCTAAGTTCTCATCTTGACCACTGATCTACATTCATCTTTATATAGATCAGTGAATTTGCCATTGTGATGTCATCTAGTGACATTTAGCTACCAGTTTTAGCTACTTTCAATTGAAAGCAGTTGGGAACACTGGCACCGTCCCAGTGACAATTCTTCCGGCATCCCTCCGCCTCCCCTCCTCCTCCCCATTTTCTCTTTCTTTTTCCCCTTACTTTTTCTTCTTCACAGCGTACAATTATAGAGGGGGGTTCTTACTCAGAGCTCAAGCTGAGCCTCGGGTTCGAGCCTCCTTCGAGGACAACAAGACAAGTTCGTTTACCATTATCTAGCAGGACTGAATGGGCAGGCGAACTCATGAATCTTTTAATTTAAACCACTAGCGCAGTGTGTTAGCATTCTGTTAGCATGTTAGCTTGTCATTGCCGTTTCCATTCGCGTTTCTTATTGCTTTTTTTCTCTCTGCCTCACTCTGGTTCTTTTCTCTCTTGCTCTGTTTTTCACGCGTTCATCAAACAACTGTGGTAAATCAGAATCATTCTACTGTACAATCACGGTGAGTGATGGATTCTCCTGTTATTGTCACTTGCCCTGCTTGCCATATGTATAGTTTAGCTTTCTCTTTCAGCGGCGAGGGATTC